AATAAAGGCTTTTTATTTAGAATAAATTATGACTGCTACTTATTCTCAAGGAAAAAAGTCTTCCCATAATATATCAAATATGAAATGTTATTCCTGAAACCACGTTTTACTTTTAACGATTCATTAATTAAAATATTATGCAGATGAATCACTATGTTCTATGATATATTATATCTTTTATTTATCTGGAGAAAACCACTATCCCAGTTTTTAGAAAAATATTATATTATATTATATACTTGCCTGCATTCAGAGAAAAAAATTATTTTTAAAAATCTGAACTTTTTAAAATAGTTATTATTAAATAATAATATTATATTAGATACTTTTATGCATGTGGAGAAAAAATAAATTTGGTAAAAAATATATGCTTAAAAATCTAATTAATATATATATATATATATATATATATATATATACACATTTATATATACTGTATATATGGATGCAGTCAGAGAAAAAAAAATTTAAAAGGTTGATAAAAGTATATATATAGTTTTATGCATAATAAAAAATAATTTAATTTAAAAAGTTTCAATAAAAAATACATATATTAATAATAATATTACTCAATTTATTATGAATAATACAATATCAATATATTATATTACATATAATCTTTATTAATAATGAGAAATGTAATTAAAAAACATACATTCTTAAGTATGAAGCCAACATGAATACAAAGATTACATTTCTAAAAACTGTTATAACTGTTTCCACTGCATGTTTTAAACTGGGGCTTTAAGAGATGTTTCTATCCAGTTTCTCTGTTGACCTTCAGAGACTCTCAAAGTACAGATCACATATGAAGCAGCACCATCTGATGAACAATTACACAAACACATTACACAGAAGAGAGAGAGAGAGATCAGAAATCAGCCGTTTCTCGCGCTCAAACTCGATCCAGCGGACGAGTCGATAAATCCTGTTCAAAGCTCACAGCTTCTGCGTTACATAAACGATCTTATCACGGCTGTAAATGTGCCAAAGCTCCTCCTCAGTTTGACGAGAACAAAGAGACTCATCAGCTCCTCTGAACTCAAACAGCAGCAGTCATGAAAAACCTTCATTATGATCCCTGCCCTGCGTTCAATTCAATGCAAATCAAAGAGAGTTTGACCATACACAAACTGCTTTAAAAGGCAAAAATACAAAATATAAAGTATATAAAAATAAGATTAAACGTAGTTTCTGATTTGCATTTTAAGGCAAATTATATTTACAGAATGCTAAAGCATCTATAAGAAAGCATTTCAAGCTCATCTGTGAGTGACTTCTACTTAACATGAGTAACTTGTAGCTTTACAAACTAGAGTTTCAAAGTAGCTTTAACACTGCTGGTGTGTGTGTGTGTGTGTGTGTGTGTGTGTGTGTGTGTGTGTG